GGTATATTTTCCATGTTTTCTGTGACTAATAGTTTAGTCATCGCTTTATTTTACCCTACATTCTACTCCGACTCCCGCAGTGCTGCTCTGGGTGGCAGCCATCTCTGACGATGCTAAAAACGATGACGATGCTAAAAGGGAATTTCATCTGGTCATACATTTCTATCTTTCCACCTTCCTCCCTTCGAAGGTCAGGAAGAAGTTTAACTTTCCTGAACGCCGAGCCACCAGACCAGATGCATTTTCCCCTCCAAAGCTACGGCGTCGCGTCGAAAACCTGTCAAAGCAACTTTCTAACTCTTCTCCGGATGGGATTGCAATATGTCGAGTCAGCTATCCAATAGTAAGTAAACCTCTGCTTGTTTATGCTCATCACCACAACGCAAATGTCCCTGTTCTCCTCCTCCCCTGCTCTTTGCAGCCAAATCGAAAGTGGGCTGTGGACTATTTTATTAATTAAATACTTCTTTCATTTATTTATTACAGCATATACAGAATGATGAAAGCGTTCTGAAAGCCGATTCTCTGAAATAAAAAATATTCATCAAAATGGACTTGAATGGCTCGATTTCAGCGACAAAATCTACGACAATTACCACATTACATTCAACACAACGTACAGCTTCTTCGACTATGTGCTGAAAAATGTTAAAGTGAGTAGTCGATTATATTGGAGTCCGAGTAGAAAGCCCTTGGTATCTATTGTATTTCAGACGCCAAATTTCCGTTTCTTAATTTATAATGGCGATGTAGATACTGTATGCAACTATCTCGGAGACGCCTGGCACATGAGGGATGTGGCGCAAGCCGCAAACCTTAAGGTAATTCATAGAGATTCGCATTAGTTTTGCTCGTAGGGTCCGACAATATTCTTCCCTCTAACTGTTTGCTTAATGCCCTTCAATGACCATATAATATCGTATAATCCGAAAACTCACTCGTTATCCCTCGCGCTGAGTTAGGCATGGCCATCTTGACCATGAGCATTGAGTGACTTACTCGGAGGATATTACGGTTCGAGGCAATGATTGCAACTGTCCGAAAATCAAAATATCTCGCGAAAGGCTGACGCTGAGTTACTGCTACTTTCCAAGTTCGCAAGCACGGCCTATCCGATCTCAGAGATTTTGAGTGTATGCATTGAGCAGTGCACAGTTTCATGGACATGCCTAGTTTTGCTGAAATTCCAGAGTTCACCGCGGCAGTCGTGGTTCTTCAGTCGGAACAATCAAGTTGCTGGTTTCTACCAGCGATTACAATGGACTCAGTGGGAGCTGGGTGCAAATGTAACAATCGATGTACTGACTGTCAAGGTGATCCCCGGTTTCGTTCTCGCTTACTCCATTTTTTTAATCTGGTCATATTCAATATTGCAGCCTAGATTTTTCACCTATTTCCTTTCAAGAAGATTGGCTCTCCACACGCTGAAGCTGGTAATGTATAAAACTAAACCTGAATTTTCTTGCAAGGAGGCAGGGCACATGTTCCGTTGATCGACAGGTTATCCATCCGTGCAAATGATCAGCAATTTCATGTTCCCTGGCAAGAGCCGGTAGTGTTGACTACTCATCTACAGCCAACACGAATCCTGATCCTTCGGTAAGCTTATGATCAATGCTGGATTCATTTGTGGTCGGAGCAGTAGTTAACAGCAAATTTATCAAAATGACTGCAAAGGCATATCCCACTTTGTCTTTAGCGCGGGCGGCAATCTTCTTTTTGGCGATCGTCCGCTATCGCGAAGTGTGAACGCGCTCACAGAAAGAGTTCTCTCGAGTGCATAGAAATTTTGCCGGGCTACCGTAGACAAAATTCGCTGTTTATTCTCGGATATAGTGCCATTGGCGCCGCATGAGATTTGAGAAAATTTCATAAACCAGCCTAAACTATAGTTCCAATTGTCACTGTTTCATGAATTTTGAATCCAGATTGTACAGTCACTCCGTGGATCCTATTCCTTGCTGTGAAAGGGGAGATTAGGTCAGCAGTTACCGTAGCGTGCCCTTTTTCCAGTCAGATATGCACGGGCATGGGGCCCAGTCATAGCCAAACGCTCTACTTTCTTCTGGTTGATCTACTGCTGAGTTTGCGTTTCCCTGCTGAGCTTCGCATAGACCGGTAGGCTTATATCGGAGATTTGCGACGCTGATGTATGAAGACGGTACCTGGGTACCTCTACCCCTCAGCCACGCTCCCGTGTGATTTTGAGGGGAAAACGGCTTGGTACTGCAGCTGCGGACGCATGGCAAGGGCCGTCGGGGCTGATGAGTGGGTATATAATTAGTCTTCAAACAACCACCACGTAAGTGTAAAGCGATTCTACCAAAGAAGTACAAGTTCTGGAGTTTATTGGTGATCGCGTTCTGAACTCGTACGTACCTATCTTTGATTTAGTTGTCGAAGTTCCTTGGGAATGCCGCTACAGGTCTACTTCACTTCATATCTTTCATGACGGTCATTCTACGGATATTCAACTGAGATATACTTACGGTTAACTGAGTTACTGTGATTAGTGTTGCCATATTGTTGATGTTTGTGATTTTAAATAAATGCATTTATGGAAGTCATTCTGGGGTCAGAAGTGGAAAAATTAAATTAGCATGCGTTGCGGTGCGTTGAACTACTGGAGCTTCAGGTGTTGGAAACGCTGAACATATTAGTCTTACCTTCCTAACTTACACCTAGGTTCTCAAGCTTATCACAAGTGAATTTTCCTCGAGGAAAATCCATTTCAGTCAAATCAGAAGCATATCCACGTTGTGTATGACAATGTGACAATTTCTTCAAAGCAAATGCGGTGTTGGATTTGCACCTGATGCTGACAGTAATTCTACGATAAGTCCTCGAAATTTCATCCTCTCAGAAAGAGTAAGGCATCACTGATTAAGAATTTCTGGCGATACTGAGTCTCTGTGGAGACGATTCCATTGGAGTGATGAAGCCTAATCAAGTCGCAATATTAGGCAAACCAAACTCACAGCGTGTTGAAGCAGCTTTCCTCGTTGAATTCCTGCTATCTGCTTAAATTTCCACTGTACTGCTGTTGAGTAAGAGTTTCAGAACTATATAAAATTTTGTGGCTTGTTTCAAGCTTTTGTTTCCGCAACTATTTCCGCAGATGTAATCGATGATCCACTTAGCGGTGCCCGCCTACGCCCGAAGTTCTGTAAAGTATTATTCCAAGGAAGCTGGACTCATCGGAATAAACCTGCCTGATCTCGTCAATGACTGGTATAGGTGTAGTCGCCTGGCGGAAGGTTGGGCCTTGTCGGGGCAGGTGAGTGAGTTCAAGCACAAGGCGAGAGAAGCGGCTTTGCACGGGGGTGGACACATCCATACAGCCTGACACGCCCAACCGTTCCGCAGCGAACTTAGAGTGTAACACTGTCCGTCCCTCTCAATCGTGTGGATAGATCTGGGATTGACTGGCGATAGCGCACGATCGTGTGATCTCTGGCGATAGCGCACGACGTGGTGATTGCTGTCGAAGATTGAGAAGCAGTCATTTTACTTCTAAATTCTCTCAAAGCAGCAGTTCTCTTTCGCCTTGCCAGTTTCGTTGGACAAAGTCTGTGTTGAATCACTGCACATCCAAAATATAGCAAACCAAGGTAAGTCCCTGCAGTCAATCTGCAATAACTATTGGTTTGGGGAAAACGCCCGAAATTTTTTGTCGAGCTGAGGGGGGTATATACAGGGGGGGGCAAAAAAAGTCACTTCGACCGAGTCACATATCAGCAAAGTTTTCGCAGCCCAGACAGAGGACGTGGATACGAGTACCAGGGCGGAAGATACCCAAGATGTTCCTCTATAAGCAGGAGCTGGCTCTCGCCCATCACCTTCATGTACACCAAAATATGAAGTCATCTCCAGTCGCAGCCTGACTGGAGAAGACCTTTGGAATTCATGTCACCTCCAAACAGCTGCGAAACTTCTAGTATGGAGTCACCCATGGATAGCTACCTGGAGACCAGTACTCTCGATCTGGAAGACCTCCAACATCGAGCAGCTCCGACAACGTCGCTACGGTCTAGGACATCATCTTCACCGCAGTCGCCAAGGCGCGGGTTGGTAGGGACCGGACGTACCTGGAATGGAGACCGATATTTTCTTCGTGGGCCCCGGACTAGGTGAGCGCTGGCGGTTACATCGAGCAACTCGAGAAGAATATCCTCCCCACATGTCGTCGCCCGTACCTTCTTGGAAACTTTGTACTGCTACAGGATTGGGTGACACCACATGGAATCAAAGGGCGTTGGAAAAACTCTCGCCTACTTGGAATGGAAGGGCGTTGAGTACCTGAAGAAGATGGAATATCTAAGCAGGTCACCTGACCTAAACCCCCTCAATTAGGGTATCTACAGTGGCGGGAGAATTCAACGATCT